CATATTTTACAACTTTTTTCACCCCTATTTTAGCTTAATATTTCAACCTATTCTCTTATGTTTTAAACTCAATTTTCTTCTTCGTTTTCCTTTCAAACTAATGTTGGTGTATATGTCGATTAGTTAATTATGATGGTATTGACTTTGTTTATATAAATATATTTAATTTATTAATAAAGATTTATTTATTTTTAATATTTATCAAAATTTTGATTAATAAATTTAGAATAAAGATAAAGTTATTGAGACAAAAAAAAAATTTATAAAAAAATTATAAATTTTTTATAATTATATGATTCATATTGCATCAAAATATTGTTTCTAAAATATTTCTAATCAATACTCTATTAAAACTGAATATTAATCAGAGTTGTTCAAACTTATATATATTATATTCTTTTTTTTATGAAATAAAGTAGTTTTTCTTATAAACTAAAGTATAAATATTTCTAATCAATTCTCTATTAAAACTGAATATTAATTAGCGTTGTTCAAACTTATATATATTATATTCTTTTCTTTAAGAAATGAAGTAGTTTTTCTTATAAACTAAAATATGAGGAATACCTAAAGTTAATATGTGGTTGCTTGTTAGATAATATATATATTAAATTTACCTGCATAAGAATTCTATATGGATATATCACTTTTTTTTTATATAGAAAAACACACATAATAGTTGTATAAGTGATTTCTAGACTTGAAATCACTGAATTATCTTATATAGAGAGTGTTATGTTTTTTTTTTTATTTACGTGGGGTGTCCGGGCCAGCTTATGCGCACCACGACTAATCCTCACGGCCCACTGAATATCCTGCAAGCCCAATAAGCAGGTAAGGCACTGCGGGGGTGACAGGCGTGCATGGTAAGATTCGAACCCAGGTGCGGAGGAAGGGGACAAGCCCCTCCTACCGCTAGGTCAGAACCTCACTTGCGAGAGTATTATGTTTTAATCCTACTATACGTTGTCCTATTTAAGAGTAACAAACAAGCAAATATTAGGTTTAACATGAATTATATAAAGGTATTTAAATAATTAAGAAAAAATTCTCAAATAATGTTAATTGTAAATTCATGTGAAAGTGATTTTCACATTGGTAAATAAAAACACATCTTGAGCCCCAAAAATATGCATAAAGTTAGCCGATGAGATTTTCAAAGTATAAAAATTTATGGAAAATATATTTTGACTAAACTTATGGTTCACACATTGATATGGAAAAAAACTTATCCCAAAGTCTCAAAGATGTCTAAAGTTAGCTTGTAAATTATTAAAAGCATAAAAGATAAAAAAATATTTATTCTCACATAGCTTATAATTTTCATACCAATATACAAAAATATATCATGAAGCCTCAAAAGATGGGTCAAGTTAGCTAGTAGGCTTTTAAAAGCATAGAAGTTAAGAAAAATTCATTTTTATAAAACTTATGGTTTTCATTCTAATACACCACAAAATATCAAGAGGCCTTTATATATATATATATATATATATAAAGTTGGCTGGTATGCCGAAAAATACCTTGTTGGGCCTGTTGATGGTGCGAAAACCGTAAATTCTGTGGAAATGGTTTTTTCGCGGGTTTTGTGCTTTGAAAAGCCTACCGTCTAACTTAAGGCGTATTTTGGGGTTTTATGATACGTTTTCTTTGTGAAAATGGGTATTTCACGACTTTTGTGGTTTGAAATTTTGGGATTGGTTTCACTTTCAGTAGCATCAAGTATACCAGAAACTCTGTTCTTTCCTAATGCAATTCACGTAAAAGTTTGGAAAATCGTAACGTATAACATGGCAGCGATTGTTGTGGTCAAACAATTCTAGAACAACCACAACAATGAAACTCATCACACTCTGTAAAACGATTCAAAGAAAGGGACCTTTCAATTAGGATTCTGATTGATTTCACCTAGTTGCCCTCAAGTATTGGTCCTTAATTAGCCCAAACGCGTTTTATGACTTCATCGAACAACGTCAATTTGAAGAACAAGTCCGAGTCTTATTTTCATCTTGGCAAGGAACATGACTTCAACTGATTGTTCTTTAGTTTTGCTGTTGTTGGATGTTTTGAACAGTATAACTGGTGACATGTAATGTTTCCTGTCAAAAGAATAGCTGAAAGGGTCAAAAGGAAGATTTTCTTTTAAAAAAAAGTAAGAAATTAACTTGTAGTTTGGGGCACGATATTTGATTTGATTTTACCCTTTGTTATGGAAAAACTAATGGTGTGAAAAGGCTAGCTATCTACTACTGGCTTGCTCCTAAACAGTATATAACGTATAGTCTCTCATCATTACGTTGGATCATATTAATTAAGGGTTTAATTAACACTAACCCTCATCTATTGTAAGATTCATCTGATCGAAATATTGAATGGGAAAAAGGAAACTCTCGAACACAACACCTAACGGTTGCTGGCATGATTAATTTTATTAATTAGTTAATATTTGAAGAAGAAAAAATCCCATCACTACGGTTATTTCCAATCTCTATCCTGGCCACTTGATCGAATGCTTATTGATGAATCCCCATACCTATATAGTATGAGGTAACTAGTTTCCACAGCCAAGACAAATAATTTATCCCATAAAAAAGCAGCGTGCATCTGCCATTTCTGCAACGAAGGAAGCAAGAACTCTGGCTATGCCATTGCACGAGAAAACGCCTGCTTGAAATTAACAAACTTGAACTTCAAAGAGACATTCTTAAATTTTCTCGCATCGACTGTCTTGTAAAGCTGTAATTTAATTACCTCATCACAAAGGTAATTGTCATGACCTTATGATCTCCAATTAAATAAAATGTATTGACCTTTTCAAAGATGCTTAAAACTTTTCTTCTCTTAAGGGCTCCACTGTGTACTGATTAATTTGACAGATCATCACTTCAATGCTTTGACTGAGGGACATTGCGATTACTTTTCCATATCGTATGCTTGACGGTCCAGTCATCCACTTATCTTTCCTACGTTCCAGTCTTCATGTGTACATTACTTCTTTTGCTTCAAATCACACTTGTGCCCCATAAAACACTCCATCCTCTATTTGACTAGCCCATCACCCCTCGGTATAAATACACTCCTCCCTTAGTTTCAACTGCCACAAAAAAACTCTCTTTTCCTCTAGTGCTAGCTACTTTTTTCTGTCTCAAAATGTTTTCCTCTTCAATCTCTTACTTAAATAGCATGCTGTGTGACACTAAAAAAGGCACTAGGGGAAGCAAGGGAACAAATCTGATATATAGAGATGAGTTGAGCAAGAAGATATCACCAAAGAAGTTAAAGAAAGGTGGTAATTGCTTGGCAATTAAAGAAGAAGATGCGAGGAAGAATTTTGAGAAAAGAGGGTATGCCAGCAGTGTGCAAGAAAAAGATGTGATCAGAGTGAAAGTTAGGATGACAAAAGAAGAAGCAGCTCGATTAATGGCCAAGTGCAAAGAAGGGGGGCTTCTTGAATTCAAAGATGTCGCACATGAACTTGTCCAACTTCCTGTTAATCGTGTTAGTTCTGTTGTGTCCTCTAATGGTGGATATGGTGGTGTGCTTCATAGCATCCCTGAAGAAGAGTAGTTTGAACTTTGAACTACATGTACCAGTGTCCTTAATGGAATCAAAAGCTACAAAAGGAAGAATCTAGTGATTGCTGCTATCATACATGTATAAACTCCTTAACGGTGGATCCACAATAGGGTAGCACAGAAATTGTCGTCCACGATGGTGGATCATAGGATTAGTTAGTCTGCAGCATGAAGCTTTAAGAGCTAAGAATACTTTTGAATTTTGTAATTATTCCCGTGAAAAATTAAAAATCATTGATTTTACAAATGTACGCGGTGCATATAAAGCAAACAAATATGTTTGTTATTGTCTAAATGTATGATCATAGAGTTTCTTGGAACAAGGGCTTTGAAGTTTGAACTGCGTGTCCTGCTTGAAAGATGATATTTGACCCATTCATTCCGGGAGTTCTTTTTGTAGATGATTTTGTGGATGACAAAAACCACCTCACTATTACTCCTTTATTCTAGGAAATTATAATAAATCAAATAAAAGGTATATAGAAATGCCTACAGAACCCCGATGTGCTGTCCAAATTATTAATTCTAAAAAACTGCAGTGAATGGTAAGACCGTGAATGAAAAAAAAATGATTTTTATTTTTTTATATTGTTTAGGTGTCTTGAAATAAATAAAAAATAAATAAATATATTATTTTAATAAAAATACTTCCAAAACATCCTATTCATCGCTTGTACAAAGGCTGGAAAGAAGCTTGTGACACCAAGCAGCAGCAGATGCTCAGAATTAGGTGCTTATTTTTGTCGGAGCCTTGATGACAAGAAGTATGATTTGATTTAGTCTTCCACTTTCAGTAACCAGTTATATTTCATTTGTGATGGCGCCATGATTGGTATGCAGAGGCCTATTTTTAATCAGAAAAATTCAAATTTCGATTCTTCTCCAGAGACCATAAGCCCAGACAACTTAACCAGTTAAGCGTGTGTGCGCGTGTAAGAATACTTTTTGCCTGAAATGCTCATTGGAGCCGAAAACAAAAGGAGGTAATTTTGCTAATTAATCTTTCAATTAGGTGTTAATATATTAATATTGTGAGCACTAGTAATGCCAAAGACGCACGCCTATACCAGACATGTCTTCTCGCGATACAGAGAAAGGTTTGAAAGAAGAAGAGTGCAAATCACAGTATGTGTTCTTAAGAATTGGGGAGTGTTTTATACCATGATTGATCGGTCAAGCTCGTAAAACTTATTATCAAGCACACCAATTTGGCATGGTCATCATTTTATTTTCTTAAGTCGGCTCAGATTAATTTTGCAAAAAATGATACAATGGAATCTAAAAGGTACAAGAATATCATTAACATCCAATTACTCTTGGTAAGCAAACGCATAATGACATGTATATTTGGGAATTGGGTCATGACCCCAAAGAAAAACCTCACATGAGAGGACTGAAAAAGGAAAGAGAATGGTAATTTCCTCGTCAAAGGGCTCGTCTCTCTGTTTCAAGCCCTTCAGGAGTTTCCATGATACTCTCCAACGAGGGTTTCCATGTTTTAACTTTCATTCTCCCTCTCTCTATCTCTCCCAAAACATCTTCTAGCTTCCTTCCTCCATTGAACTTTAGTTGAAACATTAACCACTCTAGCTCCTCCTTCGTAAGCACTATCTTAACCTTAAGGCTTGCACCTTTCTGGAAACTGCCACTTTCCTTCACAATCCTTGTTTCTTTCTTTTCTTGATGCAGCTCCTCAATGTTATCATCCTCTTCGTGCAGCCTTATTTTGCTTGACCTTATGCAATTTCCCATGGTTTGAAGTGCAAAAAACAACACGATTTCAATGGATAAGCAGTGTTTAAAATGTTATTGGGAACTGAAAAGGAGATAGAGAAATAGGAGGGCAAAGTACATCAATGGAAAAGTTGTTCCAAAAGGCTTCAGCTTTTGAAAATTAGGTGGAGGGGAGGACCTGATATTTATAGGAATTAGGTGCCCAGAATTTACGCAGAATTTCCTACGCGGGAATAATAATTTTTCTATATTTGCTAATACACAAACTAAACTTCCATGAAAATGACGCAACTGCTTGTGCGCCCCTGTATTAAATAAGTTCAGTACTTTTCTTTTAAATTTCTTTGCCAGCACACCACAAAACAAAACAAAAAAGAGCTGCATGCCTGATATCTTATCAGCTCCTTTATACATTTAAATGCATGAACAACTAAAAGTTTAGATGCATGAAATCAGGAAATGGAGATTTCGTTTCTTAGGCGATATTGTGCTTGATTATGGCAATTTTCTTTCTTTAGCACAATTTAGTCAAATACACGAGATTAGAGATTTAATCAATAATAGATAAAACCAACAAAACCTGCTGCGGAGTGATAGTTTAAAAGGGTGTATGTGTACGTGAACATGGTTGTAATTGTTTTTTAAAATATATTTTATTTATAAATATATTAAAATAATATTTTTTATTTTAAAAAAATATTTTTAATTTTAGATCATTAAAATAATTTATAAATATAAAAATTTTAAATTTTTAAATAACACAGCTTAAAACATGTTTTCAAAAAGCAATAATGGAAGTTCAATCTAATTGCATGTTTCTAAGATGAAGTCTATTCCTCATATGTAATCAAGATATTCAAAAATCTATAATGAGATCTCCAAAGAATTAAAATAGTCGACGTAATTAATGTTGAAAAAAAAACAAGAGGATACCAATTAAGGATTTGGTTTGAAATCTAATTTTGTTAGTGGTCTTAATTTATTCTCCATTGGTTGTTGATTTGTGATGTTTGAAGGAGCAAGCAACTATGGAGATCAGTAGACTACAGTACCGAAGGCTCATGGGAAATGGAGGCTTAGGGTTGTGTCAATCTTAAGAAAACCTAATTGATTCCCCGACTATGTCACGAGCACGGTGGAGCTCGTGTGAACTTGCTGCCTGAATTTAATAAATGCCGTAGAAAATAATAAACAGATTATAAAAGAGTTTATTTTTTTTTCTGTCACCAGCTATCTATGTTTACAAGATAAAAGAGTTTTTATACCCACCAAAAAAAATAATAATAATAAGAACAACAACACTGGCCAGAATTGAATACACCGACAAGTTTAATGACTGTAATACTTATATGTCAAAAATTTCAATTTAGAAACTATATAATTTTCCGCCACCTCTAAAGAATTCATGATTCCACTGGGAGGATTTAATTACTTCAGAATCGACAAAGAAAGAATGATTCTTCAGGCACGGCTATATATATATCCAAACACAATCAAACGCGTTTTGATTCGAAAATGTTTATATTATAATTGGGATTCATGATATCTCCTTATATAAAAACTAGACAAGAAGACGAAAAATGTGATGGAAAAATTGTTCAGAGACCTTGAATTATTGAAGATATAATATAGATGACAGTGACATTTACTATTAAAGCTATATGAACATCATTGACACGCCATGTTTAATAGAGTAGCTAACAGGGTTTCTTGCGAGAAAAAGAGGCATAATTTACATAGAAAATATAAAATCTTTTCCATTATCGGGATTCATTATATATACCAACTCTAGATTATTAAACATGAGCGTATACGGTGCTAAACGTTGAAAAACAACAGTAATACTGTCCGTGAACCTGAGAACGTGGCCCTTCATTCATTGGACGAAAACACTTTCAGCGACGTTCACCACCACAATGCATGGAGGAGATTTTTCATAGTTTATTGTGGTTGTCATTTTGCTAGAGAGTTGTTGCGGGGTAGGTGCCTAGACGAGTTCATGGTAACTTGTACTCATCACTCATAGCCATGTTAGTATTTCACTCGAAGCTGCTATGTTAGTATTTCACTCGAAGCTCTCTATACTTCACAAATTTATTTATTTTTTAAAATCTTAACTGGATATTCTAAAATAAATTAACTATTATCAGCACTCCAAATATTTTAAAAGTTGAAAATATTTTCTTATAATTTTTCATCCTAAATAATAATATAGAAAACAGATCTATTTCTCAAGCTTCACGGTATCAGATTTCTTTTCTCGTACATCATGGAAAGATTCAAAATCTTGGACTTCTTTTTTTCCCTGACGTGACCTGGGTTTGATTTGTAAAACCAATTTTCTGCCATTACTTCAGATCTTGCCTTCATAGTGGTCAACATAACCTGTTCACTTGGTGTAACTTGACCAGGTACTTGGAAGGCTTGATATGGTAATCAAAGTAGACTGCCTTGGCCAAGTGCCTGTACTTTTGTTCATCGTAATGACCTTAGGGACTTTATTTCTCAATTTTCTTTAATGTAGAATAAAACTCACTAGTTATTCCTGTTGAATTTCCAATTGTCAAGTGTGATTTGTGGGTCTTTCATGCTGTCTTCGGTCATCTGCAGAGGTCAAAAGCATTTTGTTTGAAGGTTAAACATTTGATGTAAAACATCCCTTTTTTTTCAAAGTTTCTTGTTTGGCTCATGCTTCCTTTAATCGAAAGTAAAGCTAAGCTGAAGCACAACGTTCCTTTGTCGAAGAACATTGTTCGGGGAACAAATAAGCTCGTTGTTTAGAGCTGGATTATATTTTTCCAATCGTTTAAAATTATGGTTATAGTTATTTTTTAAAATATTTTTTATTTAAAAATATATTAAAATGATATTTTTTTAAAAAATTATTTTTAATATTAGTACATTAAAAAATTTAAAACATTAAAAAATATTAATTTAAAACAAATAAAAAAATTAATTTTTTTAAAAATACTTTACAAACAAATACCGTCATGTTAATTCTCAAGTTCACCTTTTGCAAGTTGCCACTATGCTTGCACTCGAAAAAGAAAAACAAGATAATGATAAGCTCCACTCGTGACTCTTGGATTCCTTCACTCGTGACTCTAGGATTCCTTCACGGCACTGCTGAGAAAAATGCACCTTTTTTGTTACTACAAACCTTGTTTATTAGTCTCTTATCACACTGTTGTAAATCCCGGTCCCAAAATGATCATGACAGGATTTAATGGAGCCAGAGCATTTCATTTGAAGCAATCGTGACGTTCAATGACGTTTCAGACTCCAGAAGAGCAGAAATAAATGGAAAGTAAAACCACTGCTTCCTAGTCATCTGGCTTAGAAATTACCACAGCAGTAGCCTGTCTAAGGCGTCATCTTTCCCACAGAACACCCTACACGGCTTCTAATATACGTGAAATTGTCTTTATTTTATTAAAGATCAAGAGAACTTCGCTTTCAAGAAATCGGTGGAAGCAATAATGCTCACTCGACACTCTAGGGTTTAGGTGAGGAAGCCAGTAGTTTAATATTTTTTTGCGAGACTGGTAACTGTGGAAGCATTTGGGGACTCAATCTTGAATCTTCGCAAGGGGGACGACAACTACCTGCTTTGGGCCAGCTTGTTTTGACAAACCACCACACTCCCCGTCAAGGGGAGAGTTTGTCAACGAGCATACCGGATTCTTTCAATCTTTCACGCCAACCATGCATATGGGTACACAAGCCAAAATCCCTCAAGCTCAGCTCATAGTTAAGCTCACTAGTTAGATTCACTTGCACTCTCGGCCTGATTGATGAACCCCATGCGGTGCACACTCTATACTGCTTGCTAACAACCAAAGAAGACCTCGGATCCGTGTGAACACCATCCCAATCCCCTTCTACATCATCAGAACATCAGCTACATGATGTGCAGACATCACTTCTCAAGTAGAAGCGTGGCTGTATTAAGATTTCACAGTGCTCTGTTCCATCACAAATTCTAATGCCCATTACACAACCACGAATAGAGTGAAAAACCGTTGTGAAAAAATCACGAGACTTAGAGCCTCTGACATTGACATTGCAATTACAATTGTTTTTCAAAAAAAAAAATCATTTAAAAATACTTCAAAATAATATTTTATTATTATCTTTTAAAATTTATTTTTAACCACATCAAAATAATACAAAAACAAAAAAAATATTTTTTTTGAAAACAGCATTCCTCCAAAAAATTATTACAACCAAAACCACCAGAAAAGAGAATTCACTACCCGTAAGGGATATTGCAATCAATCCCACACTAAAAAAACCCAAGTTAAATCTAATGTCAGTGACCACATTAGCCTACACAACAGATGGTTTATACCAGTAGAGCATGCTAACTTAAAAACATCAAGTTCTTCACAGGCTTTCCGTATCTTTTAGAATAGGTTCAGCTCCAAAACCACCTAAAGCAGGTTAAATTAACATACATAACCAAAATAGAGATCCAAGTACGATTCACTACATCCGTCGGCGCTTCTTTGCAAGATTTTCAAAAATTTGGTGGACATCAGAGGATGTGATTGTCTTTGATTTATCGAATGACTCCTGCAGAAAAACATGGGTACATACATCAGTGCAGCATATTTGCTTTGCATAAATAAACTCAAACTAAAATAGAGAAAAAGGTAACTTTTTACAGCTAAGTTTGCAAGATTGAATATCACAAGAGTAAGCTCTAAGGTGTGTTATCAAGGACATACCAAAAAGGAACGAAATTCATCCTTGAAGTCTGCAATACCATTCAGAATCTCCACCTTCTCTATATGACCGAGCTTGTTAAAAAAGCTCAACTCAGCGCCCTCCTGTTGCTGCAACTTTTCTTCCCTCTTCTGCTTTGCCATTTTCTCATATTCAACAATTGTGTCCTCCCTGTCAAGAAGATAACTTATATGCTTCTGGTTGTACATATCCAAGCATTTTTCACATCTACACAGGATGTCCCTCCAGTTTTTGGAAAGAAACAATGGTTTTCCTTCTGAAACAGGTGAAATGACTTCCACATTGACTCCAAGAACACAAGTAGTATGAAGATTGGGGTCTTTTGTGCATTGGTTTGAATCGTTTGACCCACTATTCTTCCAAGAACTTTCTCCAACAGCAGAAGCTTTTCCAGATGTTGCGTTATCCTTTTCAGAAGAATTGTTAGCACATATATCATTCTCAAGATTCCCAGAACCACAAGCTGTGGGAACATCTTCCAGCACATCCTTATCCTTAGCATTACTATAAGTAGCATCACCCTTCCCCCCTGCTGCCCGAATTGTCTTGGGATATAGTGTCAGAAAAGAACAAACTGCCGAGCATGTCTTGCATATAAAATCTTCATAGAGAGGCTCTCCTTCCTCATCTCTTGGAATCTGTAAAACAAGGAGATAATTTTGGTAGCTAATAATCATACTACCTAATCAGAACCATTATGGCTCCAAGAAAGCCAGAACTATATAAGTCTTGCATGTCCTGGGAAGGGAAGTCCAAACTAAGATGACATTTATTGGATTGTGTTTGCAAGAAGTGAGACCTGAAGCCTAAAGTATGCAAACCTCTTGGTTGTGGACTCTACACTACAACCATGCGCTTGAAATCAGAGCATAGGAGGAGAAAATTCTTAAAACATGATCCATGTAAAATAGTTGGATGTCACTTATGATTAACATCAAGCATTGGGATCTGAATAAACTTGATCATGCCTCCAAAATAATGCCAAGTATGATATCATCAAACTTATTAACCACGATGACCATATATCACAATATCACATTAAAGTTGATATATCAACCAATTTTTCTACCAACAGTAGGCTGTAGCAAGGGTAGGGACTAAGGGGTGTTTGTGTTCCAACTAACAAAGGCAAGGTTTAGGAAAGAGCCAAACTGAAAGCATGGTTGTTCGACAAAACAACCCTGCCATGGATAACTCATACAAAATTTACTGACTACGGAAGTAAACATCAACTTGTCAACCCTCTTTATTGTACATCTAAGGATTACACATTTCCCAACTCAAACAACACTTTTTTAGGCTGAAGACACAAACAGGTAACTGTGGGAAAGAAAGAGGCAAAGATGATGAGAACGGAGATGGAAAAACCAGGCTACCAACCTCATTGGAAGATTCTAGGCCAAGATGCTCGTCATGGAACCAGTCTTCACACATAATGCACTGTATCATCTCTTCTTGTGCCTCAACATCTGGATCAGGATAGGGCCGATCACAAGAGCAGTATAAACCTTTGAAGTTGTGATTATATGAATTTTCAGCATTTTCCACATCTTTTTTTGGGAAAAGCTTGCAGAAGAACTCCCCAAATTTTGAATTGCCACAATCACACCGAAAATTTCTCTTGGTCCATAACTCCACAATCTTTTGCATGTGGCAACAGCAAAAGGCACATTAAATGTAAGATGAATTTTAAAAGAATGTTATTTAAGAGAAGGCATGGAAGAATAGAACACTGATTAACTGCCACAGGTGTGGATAAATATTTATTTCTGAACTTGCACCTTCAAATTATAGTTTGGTTTTGAACTAAAGTTTTCAACCTCCTTTAAAAAGTGCTACCATGAAATGAAGATTTATATATTCTAGTGTAAGATTGCATAAATAAAATTACGTTGCAATGTTTTTGTACAATGGCTATTGTAAACACCATCTACACCCGTGGTTTTCAATTTCTATTGTAATTAAATAGAACACCTTTAAGGGCATGAAAGTAGTCTTGACAATGCATTATGTTTTGCAAAGAAACGTTTTACTTCTCATCATGCCTCCATATTACAATTTTAGTTCTAGGCTCCTAGTCCTGTAAATTTGTTAAACTTTCCATTAACAAGCAGCTTATGCCAGAGCTTTTAACATTCACAAGGTTAAAAAAGGCTTCAGTAGCTAAATTTATAGTATTTTTGTCATCTCAAAATGTGCTTGAACATTGCCTCATTTTGGCCAATGTTCTTGCCGATGTACATAGCATCTTTTTGGTCACCAGTGTACATTAATTTTCAAAATGGTTTTCAGTCAAATTGAAAGTTGGGACATTAAACCACAAAAGCAAACCCACTGGGAACTAACTCAATCAACAATCAAACCACTAAACTAAAAAGGGAAAAAAATACCTCATGGCCATCATGGCAAGACAAACTACAAGCAGTGCAAACTCCAGCATTTCCATCTGGAGTGCATGACAGACATGAGAAAATAGCCTGTCTCTTCATATATCCCATGTTATAAGTGCACTCATTTCCCTCATCTCCTCCCAAAACCAAATCCGCGTTCTAGGCAACCAACAACCAAGACAAAAATCACATGAGAAAATTTAAGAGTAAACTCAATAAATCTAATAAGCAGAGAGTTACATTATACATATGTAATCTATCCACACCATCAAAGATTAAATCATCTTCCAGATCAATACCAAAGCAATCCATTTAAAACATAATGCATTTTCTTTGACATTACAGCTTGAGGTCACAAGTTTCGTGATACAGAATTTCACAAATAATTATAGCAGCAGTTGTCATAATCCAAAACAATTTTTGCCCTTTTATTCACAAGTCTGGTCGTGGACTTGGACTTGTGGTGTTATGGAATCTATCAATTTCCCTAAATGCTGGAAAAAAGATTAAAATATTCTCGTGTAGTGTAATTGAGAATCAATCACGAAACCAATTTGTGTACAACAGTTTCCGATATCCAATCCCACTTTACCAAATACAAGCATTCATCTCGACAAAATGACCCTCTTTTCATATTTACAAAACCCTAAACAACATAAAGCCAATGACTCGAGACCCTGAGCTGAAATCTTTTCTTCCTAGAAACCAAACAAATGTACACAATCACACCAACAACCAAGAGGGTAAGAAAAAAAGCAATACTTTCACTCAGCAAAACAAACCCTGAATTGAAAATTTACCAGTTCCTCAGCTTCAACGTTTTTGAGATATTCATCAATGGTAACAGTTTGCTCGACCTCATCATCAAATACACCATCCATTTTCTCAATATAGTGGAAAGGATTGAAACTTTATGCTTTCTACCTGAAATTGAAGCAAACAAAGAGAGATATTGGTTATATGTCTGCTTTGAAAGGGATTGATTTTGATACGGGAAAATCTATGGGCTTGACCTAAAACATAAGTAAAGCAGGTATTGGAGTAAGGGGCACCGACCTGATTGGATTTCGTTGATTTCTAATAATTCTAGGGTTTGTTAATGTGATTACGAGAGCGAGGGAGAGATGTATGTCGTCTAAGTATGTATGGGGAGAGAGCGCGTCAGAGATATATGGGAGTGTTAAGGACTGAACGGACATTTTCCCGCCATGATGAATGTTATGTGGTGGTGGGGGTGCGTCATTTTAACAAGTTAAAAAATTTCATGCAACTTTCCCTCCAATTCAAGGATGGGCTTTGGTGTCGTGTGTTTTGCAGCTTCCACTCTTGAAATTTTGAAATTTCTCTTTCTTTGTTTGCTTTTTTAAAGTTGTTAGAAAGTGTATTGATTTTTTTAAAAAATATTTTTTATTTAAAAATAAATTAAAATAATATTTTTTTATTTAAAAATAAATCATTTTTCATTTAAAAAAACTCATATCAATCCAACCTGGATGAAGTTAATTTTTATATTATAACTAGAGTTATTATAATATTATTAATTTTAACATTTAATATAAACTAAAATAAAAATAATATATTATAATTATTTTTTAAATATATAAGTCTAGTAACAATACATATTAAAATAAAATATATTTTTTATATTATTTTATCTTATTTATTATAACCAAACAAAATACAAAAATAATTATTTTTTTTGGTATATCATTATCAAATATAATTTTATTTTGATTTTTTCTTCTTTTTTTTTCTGTATCTATTTCTATTTTTCTAGAACTATCTAAGAAACAAGTTTACTAATTAAGGAAAAAATGATCTTTATTTTTTAATTTGTCAAGCTGAAGTCTTAAAGTTAGATAGGCATTTAAATAGCGTGAAGCTAAAATTAAGAGATTTGTGTTCATCTTTCATGAAGCCATGAAAGACGAACATAAGGAAAGGTTGATGCCATGCAAGGCAACATGTAGCTAGTGTCATTGCATGACAATCACACTTGTGAGTTTATAAAAATGCATAAAGGCAAAAAAGCTTTGAATAATAAATGTATTGACAGGGTAAGCAAGATGCAAACACTTCACGACCAGAGTACAAATCCAGAATTGTTGTTCAGGGATTTAGTTATAAAAAAATAGTATTGATTTCGATGAGATTTTCTCTCCGGTTGTGAGAATAAAAGGATATGGAAACTACATTATTGCATGGTGGCTCAACAACTAATTTGGACTCAAAGACTGAATAACTAGATTGTCCGATCAACAAAGAATTATGGTGGCAAAAAACCCAATTGTTATATGTTTTCTCATCATCAATTCAAGATTTCATAATATGCTTTTTCTATTTTAAAACAGCAGGTATAACAAGCCAGGGATTCAGTCTATGATGAGGAGTTTACATAAAAGAGCTTCAAGCTGGAGCGAACTGGACCAGGTAAGTTGCTTTTTTTTTTTTTTTGCTGTATATCATTTGTTCTACCCATGAAGTTTGTCAAATATATTAGTTCTAGCCATTAGATTGATGAAATAGGCTGTGGGGATTAGTTTTGAGACCGGTATAAAAACTGGATTCAAGAGTTGCGTTCCATAAATCTAACAATTCTTCTTATTCATAGCAAACTCGAAAGTTGTCAGTGGCGAATGCGGGACAAAATATACACTGCAGATCATTTTTTTTTCATGAAGTTAGAATGGTCAAAAAGCTATGCTTGGCTTAGTAAATGCCAGTAAAGTGAGTTGAGAGATGGGATCTCATACCAATCCAGCAAAAGAGATCGGACAAGCTAGTTCATCCAATGGAATAGGTTGACAGCTCTCACTCCCATTCAGCAGACTGGACACGGAGCCATCATACCTGCTATCCTCCTTTAGTACATTTGATGGAGAAAACATAAGAGGATACTGACAAGCCTGTACTCACTTTTTATTATTATTATTATTGTAAGTATTCAAGTTAGTTTGTATGTAATAAATTTAAAAATTAATAATTATATAAATCTTTAATAATTTTAAAATTTATAAAAATTAAATTAATAAACTCATAACCTACTAGTTAAGTTGCAGTTTTTAGGGTTACTGCCGCTGCTTTCTTATATGGGAGCTTGGACTGTCTAGAAAACAAGCTAGACAATAACCTCTATTGCCTCGGATGTCCTGGATGCTGAAATCCTTGCACCAAAAAGCTTCCATCTGCTAAGAATCACTGCAACTGTAAAGAAAACTTATCACGCAAATTTGCAGATAGTCTCTTAGCTTCTCCATTTTTTTTTTAATCTGGTATTATTTTTTTTCTGGATTTTGCATCTCTTTAACAAATCAGAAACAAGTGGTCAATAATTATGCTACAAAAGGATCCAATTGAAAAGAAAAGGGAGTTTATGAATAAAAAAAAAAATAGCACTCCTCCATTGTAAATCTCCCGCACCTTTTAATTTCTTTTAATAATTAAGAATCAAAATTAAAAAAAATAGCACTCCTCCATAGTAAATCACCCGCACCTTTTAATTTCTTTTAATAATTACCTAATTATCTAAAAGCCCACGAGTAATTCCAATTTGGAAAAATATAATATGATTATATTCTATGCAAATAAATCAATCATATTACAAGAATTTATTATGTTCTTGTGGATTGAATCGATCATACTGTAGAGACTATAAGTGTTGTATATCAATGTCACGTGCCTGATTGCAGACGGGGTAGCGAGTTCTTCCTAACAAGCTCTTGTCTCGTCTCTCTATTTCCGTATTTCTTGAATATTTAGTTACGAGCAGCTGCAAATTAAGGCATGCGTGCTTGAGAAATTAATTTTCTTTTCCCCCCCTCTTTAAATTGAGTTTAGCCACAGCTACGATGTCAATCATAAGAACAACCAGTAAGCCTTGGAATCAAGCCTTTTTATTTTATTAATTAACCAATCCAACAATTTCTATTAATGAATCGAGAAAATCAACATATATGATATTGTCACAAGTTTTATTTTCTCGTCAAAATCTCCAGTTTTTATGTGATAGTTTAGTCCTGTAGAGTCAGTCATTTTACTCACCAATTCACTTGTGTTTATTTATAATTAATTAGATTCATTAACCCAAAAAATTTCCAACCAATCTGTTTCACTTCCCAGTCAAAACAAGATGTTCATTAAATTTATTTTTTTCCCCTTAAACCCATCAAATTCAAAGTCCAAGTAAACTCCAGATTGCAGTCAAGATAAAACCAGTCTATGTTCTACCACCAAAATAAAAAATAAAAAATAAGAGTGCTATTTGTAATTGTGTACAACTACAGAACCGTCTATATCATCACTGCTGTTTAGCTTTCATGACTTGATGCTACTGTCAAGGTTTTTTTAAGATTAATATGGGTGTTATGCAGCTCAATTAATATGATGAACTTTAAAATTAATATTCATATAAATTTTTAATTTTTTAATAATTCTAAAATTTATAAAACTCAAATTACTTCATCCTTTTGTTCCTAACTTGGCTATTTCCCCTTACTATATATATTCAAAAAAAGAAAAACTTGACTTTTGAGAGAATTGAAAAGGTCAATTGTCTAACAGCAACAGTGCTTTGACATTGGTAAGTACCAAATTAACCAAGTACAGAAGGGATTTAACAACGTTTGAACTAGTCTTACCAGTGTTTTACAAGCAAAGCAAAGCTAACCCTTTCGTGAGAGAGAAAGCAAAAATTAAAGAAAAAATTACGCACCAAGCTGTGCTCAAACAACATCCCCCCAGTGATATGCTTGAATACTATTCTAGTATCATTTAATTTAAACCAATTGCTCTCAGATTTATCGGATTTTAAACCCTTTTTCCAATAAAAAAAATGTGGCTTAATCTGTTCATACAATCAAGAATCATTTTATATACTAGCAGTTCACATGCAAATTCATTGAGAACACTGTGTTTATATCTTGAAAAAAAAAAAAACAAGAACAAGGCATATAAATGGCGTTATAGTAGAAATTTTTGGCACACAAGAATGATTAAGGACGGATAACAAGTGAGCTGTTAGAATTTTTCTGTTTCAGATTTTATAATTAATCTATTAACATCAACCGTGTTCTGTAAATTATTTCTTAAACCCACTGGCCTCCATGCGCGTAAAACCAGTTGATCTCTTCGAGCACTCTTTAACAAATAACCAAACAAATGGTTGCATTGATTTCTCTCACCAAAAATTCAAAGGGTGACTGGACCGTTGAGACTCCGACTCCCTCGTTTTTTATGATATCAAGTGATACGTATGAATCCTGCAGGGAATTTCAGCTGCAGAAAAGTAATCAAGGAATTTATATGTCAAGGCTCGAGAATTAAATACAAGAAAAACAGTCCTCCATCCAGAAATTGCCAGCAACATTTCCTCGTTGGAAATAGAGTAAATTATTCTCCAGCACCTGGTTTTGAATGCATTTATAAATGAGTCCTTTATATTTGAAAACCTATAATTTAGTCCCTTAACCCTTATGGCCCACTGTCTTATAAAAACACTTTATTTTTTCTAAGAATTTGAAGTAGAAAACGGTACATTTGGGGTATAGAGAATAAACTAAAAAATGTTCTGATCAGACATATAAATCGTCAGCAGTCAAGGGACTAAGATGTGTAATTTCAAAGAAGGAAGGATCAGATTATGATTGAATTCAAAATATAGAGACCAGAGAAAAATATAATCTTGGAAATAGCATGCTGATTTCAGGAGTTCTGACAATCTCCTTGACTGTACGGAATCCCCGTCAACCAGAAATAAGAAAACCCTGCCCATAAAAGCTTTGTATTTTTAGTTCCCAAAAAATGGCTCCTTCAACTCTCTCCCTCTTAATACTCTCTCTACTGATCTTCCTTCAAAAAGCAAACAGCAATAAAATTACTTGCCATAATCCATGCCTTAGAAACAAACTAGAGGTTCGATTCCCTTTCGGATTTGATAATAATAGATGCAGCTATCCAGGTTTCAATCTCTCATGCAACGATCTCCAGAACCAGATTATCCTCAACCTCCCAAACGCTGGCAACTTCACTGTCCAAAACATCAACTACCGCAGCCAAACAATAACTATAACGGACCCACAAAATTGCCTTCCGAAGAAATTCATGGACTCTTCATTTGACCTTTCAGGATCTCCTTTCATTCCTGGACACTATAATCGTTCCTTCACCTTCCTAAACTGCTCATCAAATTCTACCACCACTGTATCTGGGCTATGGCGTATTGATTGCCTCAGCAACGAAAACTTCACTGTTGTGGCCATGCTAACAACTAATTACGAGTCGTTTCTTTACATGCCAGCACCATCTTGTACAGAACTGAAGAAAAGAGTGTTCGTTCCGGTTCTTCGGTCTCGTTGGTCAGATAGTGAAACCAAATTAAAATGGAATGAACCCTATTGTCGACGGTGTGAAGAAGACGGCGGGACTTGTGGATTCAAGGGGGATACTGGTCTGACCATTGAATGCAAAGGTCGACGTAGCAACGGTATGTTTTTCGATCAATTTTAACAGTTGATCCAATAGTCGATTGCAGCTATGGATCAAGTTTTTCATGATCCACACGTTACCCTGAAATGTGTGGATCAAAAAATCTTAAAGAGGGAGTTGCGACGGTCAGTATTTGTCTGTAGAAGTTTCTTCTAATTAAAATTTTAATTTAAATCTTATAAGTTATATATAATACCATGAGTATATTACATGTACGATTAATTAATTAAATATAGGGCAAAATGATGATGATTTTAGGGTGATTTATTTTTTCTAAGAATTTTTTGTTATTTTTTATCATCAAGAGATTACAAGTAGAAATTGCAAGATATAAAATAAAACAGTACTTTATCATAACTGGGATTTTAAAATGAACTAAAAATTCACATGCTGAATATTTTAAACAATTAAACAAGTCTAGTTTTTTAGACGACTCTTGATCGAGTCTAAACTTAATAAATTTTAAATGAGTCACCTTTAAACCTCATGTTTAGGCTTGTTATGAACATGAACCAAGCTTAAATCTTGTCAACATTAGATGAGTCGAGCTCGATCGCATCAAATCTTGGTTTGGCTCTACTCAATTTACAGCCGTAAATGCAATTGCATACGTGTCAATTTGATCAAATGCTAGTGGTATAGTTTTTGTATGACCAAATCCTACGCTACGTACGGCAACATTCCCCATGAGAACTAGTCAAGGAACACGAAGGTTGACTCTTTAATTACTCAGAAAACCTTGCATTTTGATTTCTTGTTTTTTGTGGTAGAATCTTCCTGTTCTTTGGTCATGAGATCAATGAATGTCAAATTCTTGTATGTTATGTGGAAATGGTGAATTTTCCAAAAGTCATACATAGTTTTTTTAAAAAAAAGAATAATTCTTGTGGAAACGGTGAATTTCCCAAAAGCCAAATTGTTTGATTTTTTAAAGAATAATTCTTGTGGAAATGGTGAATTTCCCAAAAGCCAAATTGTTTGACGCCGGTGCTAAAACTGCATCAATATCAATGGAAGGAGAATTAGAGAAATGAGGAACAACATAGGAACTGTGATTCCCCATTGTCTTGGAGTTGCTTTGATTTTATTTTTTTTCTTGTTGAGAAAGAATATCACTTGAACATCCGTTGCCCCTGTTTTTCTTTTAGCATTAAATGGCCTTCATTCACGATTTGGCTTTGATAGGTCCTCTCCCAAGAAGTGCAAAATATGGCATCGTACTGGGTGCTGGAATACCAGGACTGCTATGCATCGTTGGGATTGGTTCTTACCTGTTTGGCCGACTCAAGGAATACAGCGGTGGCAATCAACCCACCACCGAATTCTCCACCGCAATTGCTCCACAACCAAGCGTAGTAATTACTGGTCTTGATGCACCAACAATAGAATCTTACCCCAAAACCCAACTTGGCGACAGTGGAAGACTGCCTAAGCCTAACGACAACACTTGCCCTATATGCTTATCTGAATATCAGCCCAAGGATACACTGAGGACTATCCCTAACTGCAGCCATTACTTCCATGCTAATTGCATAGATGAATGGCTTAAAATGAATGCAACATGTCCATTGTGTCGGAATTCGCCAGATGGGTCATCTGTAATGAGGCAACATGTCCATTGTGTAGGAATTCGCCAGATGGGTCATCTGTAATGACCCCTTCCACTCCCTTGTCCTCTTCGTCATCCTCATTATCAACACCAATGCCATAGATGATGACTGGTTATATTATACAGGGTATTTTTTGCTAGGTTTTGATGGTCAATCGTACATGTGTATTGCTTGATGTGTGTGTATATGTATCCACGAGTGGTGACCAATCATGGATGTACTTCATTTGATTTTAGTAAGTTTTATATGAAATACCAAAGAAAAAAGGTAGAGGATATATCATCACACTTATTAATTAGTAATTTTGTATGTGATGATCTCTAAGACGATCCTAGATATCTATGTTTAATTGATTATGAATTTAATTATAATGCAAAATTGTGCATTTTATTTAGTTAAACTTTCGATTTCGGCCATAAGAATTATGTGGTGGCAATATTCAGCAAAATACATGGAAAACCAAGCTTCTGGCCCCGGTGCCTTAACTATCATCCTTTCACAACATAAATTAACAATTAAAGCACATTGCCTTCAATGTTACAAATTTTGGGGATTAGGGCATCGTGATTTACTTAACCATGGTTTTAGCCACTCTCTTGCTGGTTTTTGTGCCAGCCTCGGAGACAAGTAGCGTACCATGTTCTTGCGACGAGGTGAACTAACAATTGAACCCATGTATTTCTTACCTCATGAAAACCATGGCTGAGCCACCCAAGATATGTTGTGATGGCATTAAGCGTCAATCCAAGTACTGAAACAAAAAGAAAAATAGAGATTGGGCCTTGAGGCCGCAGCTATTATTTCATAATGTCATTTCTCTGATTTGAATCAGTGGAGCAGGAGCAGAAATGGACGAGCTTCGGACTAGAGTTTGGCCCAGCTTTAACATTCCGAGCCCATCTAGGTCCAGTCAATATAGCCCAACGCGAATAACCACAAAATTATGGAACCATCACTACGAACTGAAATTCTTTCTCGCAAGCATTGAAAACGGTAATCTCTCTTCATAAATTCAATATTTCTAGTTAAATTTTCCATGTTTGATTGTTTTAGCTTTTAATTTTCCTTTACTCTCTGTTAATTTAGATGGCATATACCCAGGGGTGGAACCAGGGAGGGCAAGCAGGGGCTCAGCCACTGCAAAACATTTTAAAATTTTCTATTTTTTTATTTAAATAAATAAGTTTTTTAATAATATATATTATTATATTAATTTTGACCTCCCTGTAAAATACACTTGGCTCCGCCCTGCATATACCATTTCAAATTCTCTATCATTGATTTAATATCTAATCTGGACCTTACGATGGCTGAAACTTCTGATTTTCTAAAATTTTAAGAGTTTCAGGACCCCTTTTTTTTAATTGGAATTGAAATGTTATGGAGTCATGATTTAATTGCTAAGATAACACTATTTTTTATGATAATTGTGTTGTTTAATTTTCTTTTTGATTGCTACAAAAAAAAAATTATGATGAGTGTATAATATTTTGGTGATTATAATTTGTATTCTAATTTTGTTGTTTACTGATTTCTGATAGAGGAATTCTGTTCTTTGTATCAATGGCTTGTCTGTTTAGTCTGTCGACAAGAGCAAACATTGTTAGACGAAGATATAATGCATCGTTTAGTTACGTTCTCAATGATGATCGCAAACATAATTCCATTGACGAGGGTCCTTCTTTGGAAGGAATGGGTAATTTGTTTCAGCAGAAGTCATTTGGAAGCAGTAGCAACAGGTTTAACAATAATAACGATTCAGCTGTGTTTGGTTTCTTTCACAATAGAAGATGTTCAGATACCGGGGTGTCTTTTTGTCGACATATGTCAACAAAGATTGGTGCAGCGTCGGAAAAAATTGAGTTCATAAATGATGTTGCTGATGTTATCACAGACAGGACTGTTGAGGCTGCTGCTGCTCAGGCACCAGCAATGGATGAAGTTGCTGCTGCTGCTGCTGCTGCTGATTCTTACTTTCCTGTTGCTGCTCTCCAGCATGTTATTGATGCAGTGCATTCTTTCATCGGTTTCAACTGGTACTGGGCTATTTGGTTCTGCTTGCTAATGTATACAGTTCATTAAAAATGTTAAAACAGTGATTTAGGAACACGGACAGTTCAAAAATTGAACGGAAGCTTTGGCCCGATACCTAATCAAAATACTTTAGCTCCTTTCCCTCCAGAATCATGCTTCATAACAGAAGAATTACAATTTAGTGATATCCCAAGGAGTGTATGGTTGATGCAATGAGCAACAGGAGCACCTCGATTCCTAACACGTCGCTCAATGTTTATAACCTGGGTTCATAGATGATTCTAGCATTAGAAACAAAATATTGTTTTTGTTCCTTATTGTGACCATGCATGTATTAAATATTTTTTTTATTAAGATGGATTTATTTTGACTAATTAACAAACATATAAATTTTCAATGATCCTAATTTATATGAAACTCCAACAATTATATGTATAAAATATTAAAATTCTTAATATCGTCCTTTTGTATCTGATTTAATGCTCTAAATGTCGATTTAATGCAACCAACAAGTTAGGCACTATAATTATATTTTAATCCTAATAACTATATTTTAGAAACAAAATATTGTTTTTATTTCTTATCACATCCATGTATGTATTAATTTTTTTTATTAAAATAGATATTTGAATTAACTTACGAGTTTTTCAAATAATTTTATTGGCCCTTAGGTTAATAAATATATAAATTTTTAATAATCATGATGTTTATGAAACTTAAAATCAATAATTTTTTAGGATCGAATATAATTAAAATATACCTCTTGAAAGTATATGCTGAAAGTATATGTGTTAAATATTAATATTTTTAATGTTGTCCTTTTACATCTGATTTCATGCTCTAAATGTTGATTTAATGCAACCAACAAGTTAGGCACGATAACTATATTTTAACCCTAATAATTATATTTTATTTAACAGTCATGCAACTCTCTATTGCGAAATACAAGTTGCAACCATTAATAAATCAAAAGAAATGAGATTTGCCCCAACAAAAAAAGTCAACGAAAGAAAAGGAGAAATCTGTCACGTTCCCGGCGTCTTTAAAATTAAAAGTCTTGATGTCCTTGCTGCACGCAATGGCAGACCAAGCAAATAAATTTCTTTAAATTGACGATTGTTCAAAATAATGGCCTTGGTCCATAGCCTTTTTTTTAAAAAAAAAAACTACTAAAAATATTTAAAATATTTTTTTTTATTTTCTAAAAATAATTTTAAATTTGTGTAAAACACTGTTTAAAACGCAGCATGGATCACCGCCTTGCTTGGTCAGCGGTCATCCGAAAAAGAGAGAGTTTAGAGAATGGTCCAGGGGGCGAAGTATCCCCTCTTCCACTTTCTATCTGCCTAGCTTCTTAACTTGGTAGATGGAAGGTTATCTAATTCACGGGGTTAAAAGACTACCATAGTTGCTTGCTTTATGAAGAATAGATCTTTGTAGAAAAATAATTAGGAAGAAAAAATGTTTTTTTTGTTAAAACGTTCTTTTGATTCATATCATTTTTTTAATAAAATATAATAGTTTGAAATTATGAATCAATATTCTTGCACACCAATAATAATAAATTTGAGAGAATTATATGAAATCTTGTAATAAATAAATATTTTATTGATATTCAATATTAATAAGCAAATTATTTTAAAAATTCTACATATTAAGCTAATAGATATTTGAACAAAATTAATGAGCAAATTATTCTTTAAACAATCAATGATCTAATTGAAAAAGATTTTTTGTTAGTTTTTTTTAAATAAAGTAGTGATATTCAAGAAAAAAAAGCTAGGTATTTATGATCCAAAATAAATGACATGCCATCCATCGTTATTTAAAAAGTTAGGTCCACACGCTTCTTTTTAATTTTGTCAGAGATAGATGACACACCATCTACCCTTATTTAAAAAGTTAGGTCCACATGTTTGTTTTTATTTTTCTAAAAATAAATGACATGTTATTTACTCTTTATTTTTTATATGTAAATAACCCATCATTTTTTGGTTGATTTTCTAACCATCAAGCAAGGGTCTAAGTTTTTAAATCGTAAAATCTCAATCTTCAACTTGTTTTTACTTGAAAATACCCTAAAAACATCTTAGAAACTTCAATAAACCCATTTAAAACCCTTCAAAAGCCTATAATCACTCTAAAACAGTAAAATCAGATAGGGTAAAAAACTATTTCATGAGTCTTGATTTATTTATTATGACATTATTAGAGAAAAACATTATATATATCAAAAAAAAAAAAATTCAAGATGAACGTGTTGATACCAAAATCTACTATTTTAGTTGCAAGAAAGTGGTCGACCAACCACTTTCTTTATTATTTTTTTTATGGTGATTCTCTTTCTTCTGAAATTTTAAATTTTAAAGTGTAAAACAAATTAAGTTTAGGACTAGAATGCAAAACTCTCAAAACACAAGGGTCCAAAACAAAAAACTCTAGGGACCAGACTGTAGTTCTCTATGCCCCATGAATAGTAAAACAGTAAAAAGTTTTTTACCATGATAAACTTGGTCCTTTTGTTTTGATTTTTTAATTGGTAAAACTAAATTATATTTTGCAGGTATCAATTGATGCTAGAACATTTCTTAGCATCGCGAATACATCACTGCACGGTGATTAAAATACATTGTTAGGTTTAAAATCGGGTCAAAATAATTTCTAAGAATGAAACTGACAAGAAGAAAGAGTTAAGGGTTACAACCGTACATTGGTCGAGGACCTTTTAGTTTCTCTGTAATGGTCTGATAACCTTGCAGGTCAAGGAAGGTTGCAGCTTGCAAGGATAATCTAAACAGAATAAAGATTTGGGTCTTCTTCGGGAAAAACGATGTGTTAATTGGATACAACAATTTCAAGTCAAACTCTTGACGAGAAGATAGGGTTAGAATTCTTGTGATTTGGTTTTGTCCAAGATTTTTTCTGCTTGACTTCTGATTTTATTAAACTAGGATTAAGCTGTATTGTTTAATTGAAAAGACTTTACCATAATAAAAATATATATATATATAAAAAACTGGTAATATTTTTGTTAGAGAATAATATAAATCATAACTTAGAGTCTTACTTAACAGTTTAAACTTTTAGGTGATATAGTTTTTTAATATGGTATCAGAGTTTTGATGACCAAACGGTCACAGGTTTGAATTTCACTATCCTTATTTATTTGATAAAAATTAAGCATAAGATAATATTAGACTGTGCAAGTTTCAAGCTCAAAAGGCTTTCATTTGAGAGAATATGTTAGAGAATAATATAAATCATAAACTAGAACCTTATCTAACAACTTAAATTTTTAGATGAAATGATTTTTTGATAATCTTTTCAACCCCAATTTTTATTTAGAAAAAAATCAATTAGTAATGAGGCGGTTCTTTGATAATCTTTTCGGCCGGTTTTCACCTGGAAAAAAATCAGTTAGTAATCGGGCATGCGACTGGTAATAATTAGAGCCATCCGTGCGCAATTACTTGAAATTGTTTTAGCAAATTTATTTTAATTTTACGTGGTTCCAAATTTTTTTCAGTTGAAAGTTTCTTTGGTGCTCCGAAGCCAATTAATTAGTTGCATCAATGCGAAAAATAAACGATACAATAATATTTACTATTTTGGTTTTTCCCGGAATTTTGTCGCCGAGGGTAACTAAAATGGGCTAGACAAGTATTAAAATCTACAACAACAATGATAATTAAACACAAACAACATATAAAATTAAAAACACTAAGCTGTGAAGGGGTTTTGCTGAGCTAAATGCATTTCAGCCCCAGCTTGGATTCATACAATATTGTTTTAAAAAAATTTGATTATAAAACTTTTATTTTTGATGATTTCACTTTTTTATCACCAAATTAAAGTTCACCGGCTTCCAATTTGTTGATGAAGGGCAAGTTGAAAGTTAGGAGACCAAATTATATATTTTTTAAAAAAATAATATCAAGAGAAAAAAAAGTAATTTTTTAGATTCAAATGGTAGAGGAAGAAGATCTTAGCAGATATCAATTTTAACCATTAAAATAATTATTATTGAAATTAACAAGTTTTATTAAATGAGATAATTTTTTATTAAGATGTTTTTTCACCTTAAATTGTTTAAGAAAATAGATTTAATATCGAGAAGCTTTGGAGTTTTAGGTTAATATTTTGTTTTTGGACCACTTTTTAGTTGTTTAAATGCATAAAACGATTCACATGTGTATTTGGTTTTTATTAACTAGTGTTTGGGTGTGAAACACCCTTCCTTTGATTTTTCAATGATCCTCTGGTAGTCGAAATCCAGAATATATATAGGAGTCACCTGTAGTTTTTATTTAAAAAAATACCAAACAATTGTCCAATTTATCAACTTACCAACGTAAACCTAAGCTAAACGACTCATTTGTCTAGGCTTTTTTTACTAGGTGTGTTGGGCCCTGGATAATAAATCTAAGCGTCTGGTTGTTGGTTATTATTTTTATTTAATGTTTTTTCTTGAATTTTATTTTAAAAAAAACATTTTTTTTAATTAAAAGCCCCTTTCACTTGGAACTTGTTTTTTGAAAATATATTTTTATTATTTAACTTGAAAAAAAAGCTTGTGTTTGTTAATTTGGTTTTGCCTAAATTTTTTTTAATGCATTTTTATACATTTCATTTTTTTTTAGATTAATGTGGGTGTCTGGGCCAGTTTGCGCTCACCACGACTAATCCCACGAACTGTAAAATTAACGATTATGTAAGCCTCCAGTGGCTATCATATGAGCAACTAAGGACTCGAATCTGAGATCACAGAGAGAACAAACCCCTTAATTTTAAATTTTTATCACTTGGTCACCACCTAACTCTTTATTTTTTTTATTTTTTTGATAATCTGGGGTGTCCGGACCAGTTTACACGCACCATGACTAATCATCGCACCTAATAAACATTCTGCAAGCCTAGTAGGTAGGTAAGGCACCGCAGGGGTGACAGACGTGCACGCTGAGGCTTGAACCCAGGATACATAGGTAGAGAAACTCTACCACCTAACTCTTTTTTTTTTTTATTTATGTGGATGTCCAGGTCAATTTGCG